CTCCTTCGCCCGCGCCGGGATGGTGCCGCCGGCCGAGACGGGGCTGGCGGCCGTGGAGGCGGCGGAGGGCACGGCCGTGCTGCTGCTGGCGCCGCGGCAGGTGAGCAGCGCCCGCGCCGCGCCGGCCCCGCCGCCGCGCCCCGCGCCGCCCTGACCGCCCGTTCTGTCCCCGCAGGCGCTGACCTTCACCGGCAAGTGCCGCCTGCGCTGCCTGTACGGCGCCGTCCGCCTGCTGGGCTTCGCCGTGGCCTCGCACCACCCGGGCCTGCCGGTGTTCTCGCCGGCCACGCACTGCGCGCTCAGCCTGGAGGCGCTGCCCGGCGCGCGCCCGCCCGCCGCCCTCCGCCAGCTGCGCGCGGCCGCCCGCGCCGCCATGCGCGCGCACCGCGTCCGCCGTCGTGAGTGCGGGGCCGGGCGGGCGGGCGCCATTTCGCGGGCGGCGCGGTGCGGGAAGCGGCCATTTTGTGCGCGGGGCGTTGCGGGGGCAGGCGGGCCGAGAGCTCGGGGTGATGGCGGCGCTCGCCCGTTGCAGAGGCGCGGGTGAAGGTGATGGCGCGGTTCTCGGCCGACTGCGCCGTGGTGCTGCTGGAGCACCTGGACACGCCGGTGACGCGGTTCCTGCTGAGCCACCCGCCGCTGTCGCGGCTCTTCGAGCCCCAGGTGAGACCCGCGGGCGGAGCGGTGCCCGCGGTGCCCTGCACCGCCCGTGCAGAGCCGGCGGCCGCCGCCCCTGTGCCGTTCAGCGCTGTGGCCTCAGTGCTGAGCGCTCCCCCTCTCGCCTAGAAAAAGGAGGAATCCAGCTTCACCCCGGAGGACGCGGTCCTGGCGTCCGTGGGCATCGTGAAGTGCAGCCCCGACCGCGGGTTGCTGGTGTCGGAGAGCATGTACCTGGCGCTGGAGGAACTTATCCAGGCCTGCTGTGGTGAGTGCAGGCACTCGGCCAGGCTGGGGCCTTGGTAGCCTGAAGAAAAGGAAGTCCGTGAGGCTTTCCATGAGTTAAAATTAGAGAGTGTGCCCTGCCTGGCACACTCCGATCTAGGGCTGTGTTTCTCTCTAAAGAGCGGGATGCTCAAGCTCGGCATCACCTGGGCTGGGTCACAGTGATGCCAGCGTTTGTCTGGCTCACACCGTGCTTGTCTTTCCAGCGGAAGATGAAGGTATCCCTGTGGTGCTGGTATGTGGCCCAAAAAACACTGGAAAATCGACATTCAACAGATACCTAATTAACCTATTACTGAATCGGTGAGTCTTTCCATGTTCTGCAAGCTTTTAAGTGCTGCATGGGATTTAAGAGGAGGAAAAATGTGTCTGACAGGACTCTCAGAAGAGCCATCAGGCCTGGAGGGCGGATAGCTTTAAAACACAAAGTGGTAGACACATACATGGGTTCTCTCCCCGCAGCCTCCCTGCAGTCGAGTACATGGAGTGTGACATAGGCCAGCCGGAATTCACCCCGCCCGGGTGTGTGTCCCTGAGCAGCATCACGGAGCCCGTGCTGGGTACGTGTTCCGCTGCACCTGCGGTTACCAGAGACCTGTTCCATTTCTGAAACAAGCAGGATGTTCTGGGCAGAGGCTGCTTGAGAGGAAGCTGCTGCCACAGATGTCAGAGGTTCCTAGAGAGAATAAACCTACAGCTGTTTGAGCTTTCTTGTAGGGACATCTAAGCTCCCTGAGTAACATGGAGCCATTCTCCTGCTCTTTTTGTCTCTTTTAAAGAGAGATGGTGTTGTTTACAGGTGGTAGAGCAGGCTGAGGCATGTCAAAGGGGATGTTCAGCCTTTCAGGTTTGAAAGGTCTCTTTAGAAAAATCTGTATTCACACATGAAATTCATTGAGAAGGTCAAAGTGGATCCACACAGGTTCAGGGCTGTTGTGACGAGCGTGAAGAAACCACTGCTCAGGAAACTGCTGGTGTTTGTGATCTTCTGGATTCAGGTCACTGTCTAAAAGGACATGGCCAGACTGGTTTGCTCTTCAGGCAGTTTGTCATAGACTTGTTTAAAGATTTGCAAGTGTGTAACCAGTGATTTCAAGCAAGGAAACAAACCCCAAATTAACCCAAAACAAACAGAACTCCAGTACGGAGTCTTGCAAATGACAGACCAGTTTCTCCCTAAGTGCAGGCTGTGCAAGAAAGCTGTTGGCAGGTGGGAAGAGGACAGGTTATTTTGGGAGGGGTAGCATGTGGGTACTACAGAAATGGGAGTGTTTTGGTTTGACTTGATGAAGGCACTAGAGGCTCAGTGCTGTCTTTGCCAGGTCCCCCCTTCACTCACCAGCAGACGCCCCGTAAGATGGTGTATTATGGCCAGACCAGCTGTGAGCAAGACACCGAGAGGTACCTTGATGTCATGAAGTACGTGTTCAGCTGCTACAAGAAGGAAGTGCCTCTAATTATCAACACCATGGGCTGGGTGAAAGGTAAGTGGGCTCAATCCTTCTCTCGAAGAGGGGTGGGAGGGAGGCAGTGATGGTGGTGGTGCAGCACCACGCAGAACCAGAACCTGCAGTGTGCCTGCCCTGAGCTAGCGCTGCTGTGTCGCCTGTTGAAGTAGCAGCAGCAGCAATTGTGTGTTCTCTGTGCTCCTGAAGGCGAGGGGCTGCTGCTGCTCATCGATATCATCCGGCTGCTGTCTCCCAGCCACATTGTTCAGATGGACGTGTGCGACTGGAAGGCGATGGCCCCGCTCACCCCTGAGCACATCCACCTCCGGGCCGGGCTGCACACCAAGGGCAAGCAGCAGCCTAAGTGCAAACAGCTGGATGTGGGTGCTGCAGAGAGCTGGAAGTGCTCCGAAGGGGAGGATGCATCAGTTCCACAGTACAAGTTGCTGTATGTCCATCCAGAATTCCCTCGGGCCGGAGTGGCAGGTGAAGCGTAAGTAGAGCATTGAGTGCTGCGTGGAGTTTGTGGGCTGAACAAAACCACACGTTGTGTTTGACTTAGAACTGTTGTTTCAGGCGAGTGCACAGCGGGATCCTGCGTGACATGTCCATCCTGGGGTACCTGGGGCACCTGCAGTACCCGGACATCGGGGCGGTGCTCCCGCTGCACAGCCTGGTGCCATATCAGGTAAAGGAGCCTTGTGGGAAGGCTTGGCTATGGTGCAGAAAGCCTGGTTCGCAGTGGGGGGCAGTTCTGCTCCTGCTGCAGATGTTTCTCAGAAGAGGAATAAACGCTCTGTAATCTGCAAACAGATAACAACTGTATTCAGGGTGTCTAGAAGTGAAGCTTCTGTTGAGGTGCTGGTGTGGCACATGTGTGCAGGTGGCACGTGTGTTCTGTATGTGCTGTGCGTGCAGATGGCACGTGTTATGTGTGTTCTGTCTGTGCAGAAGGTACTGTGTGTGCCCTGCCCGTGGGTGTGGGATGGGAGCATGCAGGGTCTGTGTACCAGGGTCTTACCTCTGAATTCAAACTCAGCTGATGTGGAACCAATGGCAGTTTTCTTCCTCTTTTCACCCCCCCCAGGTACCTTTCAGTGCTGTGGCACTCAGGGTTATTCACACAGATGTTGCTCCCACCAACATCATGTATGCAGTGAACGCCAGCTGGGTTGGGCTCTGCTGCATTCCAGATGAAGTCAGGTGCCAGAGCGACGGGCCGGTCCTGCTGACACAGACACCAGTCTGCGACTGCCTGGGCTTCGGTGAGTGCACTGGAGCTGTGAGGAATGTCACTGCACGGCGCCGCTCGGAGCGTCTCACAACTCCCTGCTTGACTCACTTTCTGGGTTCACGTTTGCAGAAGCAGATTCTGTGTGGCTTATGTAGTTGCCTAAGTTTCCTTTTACGACTTGATTTAATGTTCCAGTTGGGATTTGGAGTTTGGTTCTGGAGTGTCTGTGGGGATGTGCCGATGAGCAGGGATACCCGATGACTGAGCTCTGCATGTGTTCTTTTGTTCAGGAATTGTTCGAGGAGTTGATATGGAGAAGAAGCTTTACCATATCCTGACACCGGTGCCTCCAGAGAACCTGAGACTAGTGAATTGTCTCCTCCTTGGGAACATTGCTATCCCCAACTGCGTGCTTGTGGGCCAGGTAGGAGCCTGTGGGAGGGGTGGGAGCTGGCTGAGCTTTGGCTGGCTGGCAAGTTTTCCAGTTTCTTATTCCTGAGGCAGATGCGTGCTGGGAGATGCCTGGGCATCAGCAGATGGTTATCACTTTAGGAGATTGTCCTTAAGCACAGAAACCTCAAGAGAACAGAATGTTCCACTCGTATTTTAGATGCCAGAGCGGGGTTTGGTGATCACTGAGTCTTTAATGCTGTCAGCTTGGGGAGGGAAGTGCTTCCTCCTCTGCTGAAGCTACAGGTTCCTAAAGTTGTTTCTGGTTTTATTTTTCTGTTTTTCAGCAAGGAATTGAGGGAGAGATCCCATATGTCACATCCGATTACAACTACAGCATCCTGGGCGCTGGGAAGCTGAGGAAGAAGAAGCATTTCAAGAGGAAGGAGTTCACCTTCGAGTGTGATTACACCTGAATCCTTGGGGCCCTTGGACCAAGTGTTGTTTGTGTGGACTGGGTAGAGAGCCCATTGTGGTCACAGGAGCCCTGGGTGCTGCAGAGGCCCTGGGCAGGTGGCCGGGTAGATGCCACAGCAGGTCTGGCTTTAATAATGTTTTGTATGTTCGGTTTCTATTTCAGTGTTTTATAATAAATATCTGCGGAAAGCGGGGAGTTTGGATTTTTTCCCTGGCCGTGGCTGACACAGGTGAAGGCAGCTGCTGTCACACCCAACTCTGCCTTGGGTCAGGAGTTCTCGTTGCCTGTCCACCCTTCAGGGAACTCTGGGTGTCAGTGATCTGCAGGGGCCTGAGCAGAACTTCCCGGTCCTGTGGTTTGGCAAAGGGCTCACCCTGGGGTTCTGGCCCACAGCTCTGGTTGTCCTCCTGGTCAAGGAGGGACGAAGGAAGGAGTGTGTTGTGGAATGTCTGTCCCCCGGGGTGGTGAAGATGGAGCCGTTCAGCTGTGCACCATCGCAGCCCACCCTGGCTCTGTGCTGGGACGCTGCTGCCTCCCACCCTGCCCTGGCCTGGCCCCGTGTCCCAGTGCTGCAGTGTGAGCTCAGTGCCCTGAGTGTGGTCTGGGAACAGCTCGGGCTGACACCAATGTGTCCCCAACTCTAACAGGCTCTTCTCCAGATCAAGGTTGAAACAGGATGGGATTGGGGAGTATCACATGGAGCACCAGGGAACATGGCCTTCCCTGACCCCACCTGTTCTACCCCACTGGGACATAAGAGAAACATTTATTTATTTTTTCTTCCCAACCCTTTGTCAATCAGCAATTTGCTCCTGAGGGAAGCTGGAGGGTGGTAGGAGCCACAAAGAGGTAAGCATCTCGGGTCAAGTTGGAGACATGTTTGGGAAAACAGCTTCTGAATGGGTAATACCAGCATATCATGCATTTATTGGATCCATGTCTGCAAAAGTAACCTGGCTTCTAACTGGCTCCTGCGGGTGAGGTGAGGTTCTGCCCCAGCCTAGACCAGGGAACAATCTGGCCCTGGTGTGTGCAGTCCCCCAAGCCCAGTGCCTGTTCAGATCCCAGGGACCAGCTCTCCTGCAGAGGAAGCAGGGATGTGGTGTGTCACTTGGGACTGGAGCTTTTTGGCTGGTGGCTGCTGTGGATGCGAGTAATCTGCAAAATTGCTTTTATCTGGTTTGTGAAGAGATTTCCTAGAATGCCAGAAACAAACAGCTGTAAGCAAATAAACTGGGATGAGTGGCAGGGAGGGGACTGAGCTGGAGAGGAGCTGTGAGGGGCTGTGCAGTGTTGCTGCCTTTTAAAGAGTTAAACTTAATCCAGGCCTAATTATCCCCATCTGGTTGGGTCTGGCAGCAAAGGAAGGACTTGGCTGGCACTGTGGCCTGAACAGTGGCTAAAATAAATAAAGGGGCTGTGGTGCAGCCAGGGAGAACATCCCAGGCAGGGTGAGAGGGAATTCACAGGGAAGTGGGTGGAAAAAGCTTCAGGAAAGGTGAGATGAGCAAAGGGCATGTGAGAAATGCCCAGTGCTGAAACCCCCCATAGCTGAGCATCACCCTCAGTGCTGTCACCAACCTCCAGCATCCACCTCACCCAGCTGCAGGACCCCACGCTGGCCACATTCCCTGGAGCTGGGGGATAAGTGAGTAACCCCCATGTCCCAAGCTGCAAGTGTCTGTTTTGGGGCATTTCCAGGGCGTTCAGATTGCCTGTGCCTGCCAGGGCCCAGAGGTGGATGCTGCAGCTTTGGGAAAGGGGAACCTCACCCGCTTCTGGTGCTCCCTAAGGGGGAGAGACAGTGCTGGTCAGGAACAATGGACAGGTCAGCATAAACCTCAGCAAAGCATCCCACCAGTGAGTTGGGGACACTCAGTTCTGTGATCAGTGGGAAATCGGTGACAGCACTTCAAATACCAAGGATATACTAAATAAAGTAGGATTAATTTTGCAGTAAATTGGCATTTGTTACATTTGCAGCAGTGATTTCTGTTGAAATTTCTGGCAAGGGGTGACCAGTAGCAGCAAAACTCTGTGGAGCACATGGTGCCTCTGGGAGGAGTTTCTGTGGTGAGCGGGGGGGCTGGGATTTGATCATCCTGCATGGTGCTGTGGTTTTTCCTTGTTTTAGGAAGTTTTGCGTGGGGTAGGACAAAGGTGCCAACCTTTGCTGCCTTTGTGGGTTTTGAGCCCTAGCTGGTGCTTTCTTGTTTGCTTGGATTTAGCAGGAGGAAAATCCCCCTGAAGACCCCTGGCTTTCCCTGGACAGGCTGGGGGCCCCTGCGAGCCCATGGGTACGGGGATGCAACCGGGGCTCAGGGCAGCACATTCCTGCCCCCTCAAAAGCCGTCTGGATGGCAGAGCCGCCGAATAGCCCCCCTCTTCATGCTGATTCTTTCCATCACAAGCACGTCTTGTCTCCGTGGCCGAATGTCTTCCATAGACGGCGGAAAGTGAAATTTGTGCAATGTCTGTAGGAGGCTGAAGAAAGGCCCTTTGTGCGCCCCCCGCGCGGGCGCTGGGCAGCCTCCAGCAGCACCCTCGGCCGCCCTGCAGCTCCCGCCGCTGGCATCAATGCGCCGCTTGTCCGGAGCCCGGGACCCACTCTTAAAGCCAGAGCCAGTCTGCCCCGGTTAGTCCCACTGGCGGCCCCACTGGGGCGGGCACGGCTCTGGGGGGCCCTCCGGCCGTGACCCCAGGATGTTTCTCTACTGGAAGAAGAGGGGTGCCTACGAGCTGGAGGCTTTGCCGGCCGGGCTGGCGGGGCTGGAGTACGAGGCAGTGGAGCGTTTTTCCTGGAGCTCTGGCCTGGACATCAGCGAGGAACTCGGGGGTAGGTGGCTGGGGGGCTTCGAGCAGCCAGGGCTGTGGGCTGCTGTGGTCGGCCAAAGCCTCCAGCTGTGGCAACGAGGGTGTGAGGGGCTGGGAGAAGCTCTCGCTGGAGCAGGGGTGCCACAGGGATGCCGTGGGAATGCTGCAGGTGCAGCTGGGGAGCGCTCGGCAAATTGCCCCGTGCCACCGGCAGCGCTCCCCCCGGCCCGGGCAGGGTTTGAAGCAGCCGGCTGCCGCCGTGCGCTCGGCTGCGAGGACGATCCGGTTTCAGACTCGTTTTCCGTCGCCGGGAGCGCCGGGCGCGATAGCACAGCCGGCAGCGGCTGTGACCGGGGGAGGGGGGACAGGAGCCGATGGGGACAGGATCCCTCCTCCGGCCCCCGAGGTGGCTGGTGGGGACCCGGACACCCTCCTGCCTCTGCCAGAAACCGGGGGGGCCCTGCGAAGAGCTCCCCGCCCGCGTGCCCGAGGCCCCGGTGCGTGTGTGACCCGCGGGCGGGGTCAGCGCCCGGGAACGGCCACGCGGCTCCGGCCGCGCCGGCGGCTCCGGTGCGGGGCCGGTCCCGGGCACCGCTGCGGGCGGCCTCGAGGCTTGCGGTGAGTTTGGAAAACTTTCCCTCGGGTGCATGAAAGAATTTCTTATTTGCTTCCGTTATTATTCCCGATAGGTCAAGTGAAACGGCAGCGGCGGGGGGCGGGGGCCGGCCCAGCCCGGGAGCGCTGCGGGGCGGCCGCGCACACAGAGCCGGCATTGTGCTCCCGCCGCGGGGGCAGCGCCCGGACCGGGTCCCGGCTCCTGCTCCCGGCTCCTGTTCCCCGCTCCCGTTCCCGGCCCAGCTCCGGCCCCGGCTCCCGGGCGGACACGGACCCAGCCTTGCCCGGCTGCTTCCGCGCCGTCATCCAGCAGCGCCCGCGGTGCCACGGCAGCCCCGGGATCACTCCGGGATGGGAGCTGGAGCAACCAGTTGCTTCCCCCTCTCCAGACAGAAGTGGCAGCTTTTTCGGTGCTGCCTCAAAAGGCATTTTAACCCGCAGACTGAGTCTAACCCTGGCCTTGGCCATGGCCCTCTCGGGCTGGCACGGATGCTGTTTTTGTTGGCAGGAAGGATGCGGGAGAGGGGAATGGCGTGGCAGGGAAGCCCCTGTGCTGGTACAGCCGTGGCACCTGGTACAGCCGTGCCACCTGGTCTCTCCACATCCCCGGCATCGGCTCCCTCCCCAACAGGCAGCTTCCCAGCCGTGCATCCCTGCCCGCAGTGGGGCTGCCCTGCCAGAGGGTGTCCGTACTGCTCGTCTGCCGCAAGCAGTCCGTTATTTTTAAACGATTAGATCCGACACATAACAAAAGCCTTCAAAATAGGATTTGTCCCTAAGGCCGATTTAACTGTCAAAGCTTAAAGTGGCTACTAAGCCCCGTTGGGGACTGTCAGCAGCAGATTTAGTGTTCCTGCTGCAGCCCCAGGCCGTGCCAGCCCCGGGGGAGCTGGGGCAGGTCTGTGTCCTCATCCTGTGCCTTGGGGTGCCGGGCAAGAGGTGCTGGATTCTGACTCTGTGGAGCACACGGTGCCTTCCCTCGGCAGGGATGCAGCACTGGCTCTTGGGCACAGGGCTTCATCCTTCTGGATGGGCTGTGGGACAGGCAGGGGTGGGCAGGAGTGGGCAAGACCAGCTTCAGCTGAGCCTGTGTGCTTTGCCAAGCTCTTAAACCCAGGGTTTGTGTTTGTGGGGGTCTCAGCATGGCCCCGGCGGGTGGCTCTCACGGCACCCAGGCTCTGATCCTCTCTCTCCACAGACGAGCCGTGCCCAGCAGAGGAGACAGTGCTGCGCTGCCAGAACCCCAACTGCGCCGGTGAGAGGAGGGCAGCCAAGGTGGGTCCTGCAGGGCGGGGGCAGCGCCGGCAGCTGCCTCCTGGCGTCGGTCTTGTGGGTGAGAAGGGGCAGTGGATGGCTCTGCCCAACCTGCCGGTCCCTGAAGGGCCCCTGCCCTGGGTGGGCAGCCCCTGGCGTGCTGTGTGCCCCAGCCCGTGCTGGGTGTGCATCCCTTGCTGGTGTCACGGTCGGGCTGGCGTTTAACGGCGTGGCAGCGATTTGCCATTTCCCCAAGCTGGCGTGATCGGAGCTAATACGCCCCAGCCCATCTGCTCCCCTGCTCACTAATGTGAATCCAGGGTGGATTTAGTGTCCGTTCTCTCCCACTGGCTGTGCAGGGCTGGGCCGGACCCACACCCTGGCTCCCAGGCGGGTCCCAGGGGTTTCTGTGTGGGGCTGCAGGCGGTGTCTCCAGTGTAGCAGGCAGGACAGCCCAGGCACGCCAAGGGTGTGCCACGGTGCTCTGTTTGCATGCTGGGGTGGCAGGGCCAGTGCCACGGTGCTCTGTTTGCATGCTGGGGTGGCAGGGCCAGTGCTGCTGGGGCACACGTGGCACTGGGCTGTGGTTGCCCAGTGGTGCAGCTGGGACTGCTGGGATCAACCCACTGAGGCCACCCCGCCACTGCCACCAGAGACCCCTGACGGCGCCTGGCAGGTAGTGGGGGTTTGGTGGGTGGGCTGGTCAGTCTGGGGGCTTGTTCTGCTGTGGCAGGGTGCTGGATCTTGATCCCCCTCTCTTTGTGAGGTGCTTGCTGAGGGGTGGCAAAGCTGTCGTGTGCTGGGACCGTGGCAGGGCTCGGACCAGGAACTGATCCCTGGGGTGGGCAGAGAGGCTTGGCCATCCTGCCTGGCCCCTCCTGGGGGGTTGAGCCCAGGGATGAGCTGCTGGCACAGAGTGGATGAGGAGCATTGAGTACCTGTGGAGCGGCTGCCAAGGGTCCCAGGGGAGCCCACTGAGTGAGCACCAGCTGTGGCCGTGCTCTCGCATGCAGGTGTCATGATGGCCACAGTGGTGTGAGGCACATGGTGGCAGAGGAGGAGGGTTGGGGGCACAGGGTGTCCTGGGGCTGTCTTGTGGCCTGGGATAGGGCACTGGTGGGTGCCGTGGCAGTGGCTGCTGCAGAGGGGCCGACGGGCCCTTGGAGAGCACGCGGGTGGTGGGAGCACGTCAGCTCTGACCTCAGCAGCACTGGGAGGAAGGAGGGCAGGAAGTGGGGGCGGCTGGAGCTGCACGGGTGCTTCCTCCCCGCAGCAGCACAGTGCACTGCAGGCAAGCCCGGGCAGGGCCGGCTCCTCCCAGCAGCCCCTTGCAACCCTCTGCGTGCAGAGCGGCGAAGGGGGTCCCACACGGGGCCGGGGATGTCAGCGGTGCAGCAGGGCTTGCTGGCAGTGGCTGATGGCACCACAGTCCCCTGGAGCGGAGCCAGCTGGAGCCCCCAGTGAGGTGGGCGCTGGCCGGAGGTCACAGGCCATGCACTGTGCTGGGGGCCCAGCCGAGGGTTTAAAAATAACCCGCTGTGAATGCCCGGTGGGGCCGGGGCCACGGCCGCGGCCGCACACAATCGGAGGAAACGCGCCGGCTTCGAGCATTGTTCGGCCGCAGACGCTCGCTTCCTCCGTCCTGCCACGGGGACACGGCTCTCATCAGCACAAAGGGGCTGGGGGGTGCCAGGGCGGTCTCCCAAGCCACTGGTGAGGTGTGAGTGCCATGGGCACAGGTGGCCGTCCCCCGGCTCCCTGTCCAAGCCTCAGCATGTGCAGCTGTCTCAGGGTCTCTGCTCATAGCAGTGGAGCGAGGAGGGGAATCTGTGGTGCAGAAGGCCCCGTGTCATCACCATGTCCTGCAGAACCCACTGTCTCGTGGCTGTGTCCCGCTCTGGCCTCAGCATTCCCCGTGAGCAGTGTGCCAGCAGCAGTTGGGGTTGGGAGAGGGGACCCAGCTGCTCATGGTGCTGCCAGCACGCCACAGCTGGTGGCCCTGGGCAGGTGCTGCCTGACACACGCGTGTCCCCCCAGGAATGCCACCACGTGGAGTGCCGGCAGCTGAGCCGCAGCGGCCCCCTCAGCCTGTGTGAGGTCTGTGACGGCCGCCTCCATGGCGCCATGCACTTCGACGGCCACATCCGCTTCGACCTGCCCCCGCAAGGTGAGCTGGGCCGAGCAGCAGCTGCTCCCACAGCTCCACGGCAGGGGTGCAGCGCAGGGGTGGGAGTGATGGAATGCACAGGGTGGGAGTGGGATGCAGCAGGATGCAGCACGGGGTTGGGGAGGTGTCACAGCCCGGCTCAATGTCCGTTTGCAGGCTCCATCCTGGCCCGCAACATGTCAACGCGCTCGTGCCCCCCACGCACCAGCCCTGCCTCCGATGTGGAGGAGGAAGAGGAAGGTCCAGCAGAGAGCAGAGGGTGAGCCCCCGGCCTGGCATGTCCCCTGTGTGGCCCCAGCCCACAGCGTCCCCGTAACTCTGCCCTCCCTGTGCCCACAGGGAACGCAGGAGCTCGGCACTGAAGCTGCCCAAAAAGAAGGCTTGGCGCAGGCACACAGACGTGAGGCACCAGCCCCTCTCCCCGGGGCACTTGGCAGGGCAGCAGCATGGCCCTGGTGGGTGGGAGGGAGAGACCCCTGGGTAAGTAGCTCCTGCCTCCCCCCAGGACCCTAGCAAGGAGTGCTTCACCCTGAAGTTCGACCTTAGCGTCGACATGGAGGCAGAGATTGTGCCGGCTGTGAAGAAGAAGTCGCTGGGGTGAGTTTGCTGGGGACAGGCACGGGGACAGTGTGGGGGCAGATGCAGAGACAGACGTGGGGCTCGTGTCCTGCAGGGAGGTGCTGCTGCCGGTGTTCGAGAGGAAGGCGATCGAGCTGGGCAAGGTGGACATCTACCTGGACCAGTCCCACACCCCCCTGTCCCTGCAGTTCGAGGCGTTCCGCTTCGGGGGGCACTACCTGCGGGTGAAAGGTGCGGCGGGGGCCCGGCAGAAGGCTCAGCTGCCTCAGGGTTCCCAGGGGACACTGACAACCTGATGCTCCCACAGCCAAGCCTGGGGATGAGTTGAAGGTGGAGCAGGCAGTGCGGGACGCCAGGTCGGCCAGCCTGCCCATCCTGCACCCTGCCAGCACCGCTGCAGTCCTCGGGCCAGTCCTGGAGCCACTGCCAGGGTGCCGAGAGGGCACTGACAGCCTGGTGAGTGCCAGTGCCAGCTCTGGGAAGGAGGAATTGGGGAGGGGATGGAAGGGTGTGTGATCCCCCTGTAGCCATTCTTTTTGGGAAGATGGGTCATGGGACAGCAGCGTGGTGTCTGCTTGATGGCCTCATGGGGTGTGGCTGAAGATCCTGCTGGAGACCCCAACAGTCACTTTGCCTCCTGACTGTGCTGTGCTGGCTGTGCCACAGTAGCGTAGCATCTCAAGCAGTGGCACCAGCCCTGTGGCTGTGCCAGGTACAGGATGCCACCAAAGCTAAGGGAAATAGGAACCCCGGGGGCCCCAGCAGTGGCTGCCACTTGGTGCCACCCCGGCCCTGGGACTCGCCCTGGCCCCAGGACTCGCCCTTGGCTGCTGGCCCTCCTCTCACGGTTCCTGGCAGCTGCTGAGCACAGCTCAGTCCTGCCCCATGGACCCTGTCCCCAGATAAGGCGTGGGGCCGGGCTGGGCACAGCCGCTGTGGGAGCAGAGTGTTGGGCCCGTGGGGAGCAGCTCTGCAGGGGCTGGTCAGGGAGACACGGTGCTCACTTCTGTGCCAGCAGGCCCTGAGGGTGGCAAGCTGGCTGTGTGGCCGGGGCTGGTGGCCACCCGTGTCCAGCACTATGATGCCTGGCTGCGGGACCGGCACAGCCCTGGCAGGGCAGGGGGGCCAGTGGGCAACCAGCCACCCCTGCAGGGCTCTCAGTCCCGACCGCCTTCCCGGGGGCAGGCGGGTGCTGAGCCGCACCAGGGCGATGGGGCTGGCGGCGGCCGGGGCTCCTGGGGACGTGGCAGCACAGTGAGTAAGGGGCACAGTGCCTGTGGCGGCTTTTCCTGCCTGGGTCCGGGGACGTGGCAGGGTGTGGGGCTGTGCCGGCGGTGGTGGCAGCACCGTGCCGCTTCCCAGGGCTCGGTGGCAGGCAGGGAGCCCCGGCCCTGCTGCCCTTTGTGCCACGGTAAGGAGATGGCAGCGGCCGCGTTCCGGCACAGCCCAGAGACACGCGGGGAGCAGCCGGTGCAGCGGTGCCCGGGGTGGAGGGAGCCACTTGGCTGTGACCCAGCTCTTGCGACCGGCTGGGGGGCTTTGATCTCCGCCGGTGAATTGTTCAGCTCTGGTAGCTTATCTGCGAGGAGGGAAATTAGGTTTTCGGCTCTGGCCCCACCTCCTTTTGTTTCGGAGGAGCCCGGCCACAGCCTGCCCGGCCCCGGCTCTGCCGTCGGAGCCGGGAGCACGGCCGGACAGGCGGCTTGGCTGGGTCTGTGACCCTCGGGATGTCGTGAGCCCCCGTGCTGCTGGGACCACTTGCCCATGGCCGGGTGGGCTAGGCCAGGCAGCACCCGGGGTCCTGCACCCCCGGGGCCCTGCACCCCCGGGATGCAGGTAGGCAGGTCAGTGCGGGCAGGGGAGCGTGGCCGGAGGACGCACTGCCCAGGGCTGCCGTCCGGGTGTCTGCCCCACGGTGCTCGAGGTCAGCCCTGCTGGAGCGTCACGCTGTGCCACGCCACTGTCCCCATCCCAGTGCCATGGCCAGGCTGCTGAGCGCTGACCCTGGGGCACTGACTGTCCCTGCTGCAGGCTCTTAGCCGGCGGAGGAAGAACATGACGGAGTTCCTGGGGGACACCAGCATTCCCAGCCCTGAGCTGGCCCTGCACATCGGCAGCTCCCTGCCCACCAATGGCACCGACACCTGGAAGAACCGCGCTGCCAGCCGCTTCAGCGGCTTCTTCGGCTCTGGCACCAGCGTGGGCTCCTTCGGGCGGGTAGGTGGGACGCAGGCACAGCGAGGGGGCACAGGGGCTGCCTGCGGCTGTGCTGGGGAGCTGGGAGGGGTCCCCTGGGGCTCGAGCCTCCTAGTTCCACAGGCTGGGCAAAGGGGTCTGTGGCACATGCCCACCGGCCTCTGCCCAGCCGCTCTGCCCCCTGCTTCAGGAGACTGAGAAGCTGGAGCAGCTGGCGAACAGGCTGCACGCCTACGGCACCTTCGGGCTGCCCAAGCTGCCGCCCCAGCTCCGCTTTGACCGCGACTCCTGGGAGGAGGATGGGGATGAGGCTGGGCTGGCACTGGAGGACAGCTGGCAGCAGATCATCCAGGGAGCAGAGGTAGGGCTGGGGGCTGGGAGGCCGTGGGGGCTCTGCTCAGCCCTGGCACGGTGCTGACGCTCAGCCTGGCAGGCCCTGTCACGCCGGCAGTGCCACCAGCAGGAAGCCATCTGGGAGCTACTGCACACCGAGGCCACCTACATCCGCAAGCTCAGAGTCATCACCGATGTGAGTGCTGGTGGACGCTGCGCCCTGCTGGGGCCAGGGGCCACGGCTGCAGCCCACCAGCTCCCCGCTCTCTCCCCACAGCTCTTCCTCTGCTGCCTGCTGAACCTGCAGGAATCAGGGCTGCTCTGTGAGGTGAGCAGAGAGGCTTGTGGGGGCCAGGGGTGTTGGGGGTGGCTCCTTGGCCTGGCAATGCTGCGAGATGCGGGTGCCGTCCCCCAGCACTGCCCACCTCACCCCCACAGGTGGATGTCGAGCGGCTCTTCAGCAACATTGGGGAGATCATCCGGCTGCACTGCGAGCTGTGGCGCAGCGTCATGGCCCCGGTGCTGGCCAAGGCACGACGGACCGGGGCACTGCTCGACCCCATTGACTTCCTCAATGGCTTCAAGACGGTGAGTGGGGACCCCATGCCATTGTGGAGGGCAATGCCGTGCTGTGCCCCATGGTGACCCCTCTGCACCTCTCAGTTCGGGTCCCTCTTCAAGCCCTACGTGCGGTACTGCATGGAGGAGGAGGGATGCATGGAGTACATGCGGGCACTGCTGCGGGACAGCGAGCTCTTCCGCACCTATGTGACGGTAAGGGGAGAGTGGGGACCGGGGCCGGGACCGGGGCAGTGCTGGCACTGACACCTGCATGCCACAGTGGGCCGAAAAGCACGAGCAGTGCAGCCGTCTGAAGCTGAGCGACATGCTGGTGAAGCCCCACCAACGCCTCACCAAGTACCCGCTGCTCCTCAAGTCCGTGCTGAAGAAGACAGATGACCCACGTGCCCGTGACGCCATTACCACCATGGTGAGGGTACGGGGGTGGAGGGCAACAGGGTTGGTCCCCCCAGCCCCTCAAACCCGCTGCCAACCCCTCTGCAGATCAGCTCTGTGGAGCGCTTCATCAACGACGTCAACTCGCGGATGCGCCAGCGGCAGGAGCGGCAGCGCCTGGCCACCATCCTCAGCCGCATCGACACCTACGAGGTGGTGGAGGGCAGCACAGATGAGGTGGACAAGGTAGGCTGGGCGTGGTGGAGCTGCCATCCTCTGCCATGTCATGCCATGCCACGCTATGCCACTCAATGCCACCCTCTGCCACACTGCTGTGCCAATCCTATGTCACTTCATGCCGAGCCACCCCATGCTATATCATGCCGTGCCACCCTATGCCATGTTATCCCATGCACCCCATGCTGATGCTGGTGGCTCCCGGCAGCTACTGAAGGAATTCCTGCGGCTGGACCTGACAGCCCCCATCCCCGGCACCTCCCCAGAGGACACCCGGCAGCTCCTCCTCGAGGGCAGCCTGCGCATGCGGGAAGGTAAAGACAGCAAGGTGAGGACTGCAGGGGACGGGGGGGCCTCGGCTGCGGCCCCTGCCCACCTGCCCTCACTCACTGTGCCAACCAGCAACCACGGCCCCACTCTCACTCCCAGATGGACGTCTACTGTTTCCTCTTCACTGACCTCTTCCTCATCACCAAGCCCCTAAAGAAGGCTGAGCGCACCAAGGTGGTCCGGCAGCCCTTGCTGGTGGACAAGGTTGTCTGCCGAGAGCTCAGGGACCCAGGTGAGCAGCACTAGGGGCAAGGGAGTCTGCAGAGGGGGTCCCTGACGTGGCTGACAGCCTCTGCCCACAGGCTCCTTCCTTCTCATCTACCTGAACGAGCTGGGGAGCGCTGTGGCTGCCTACACCTTCCAGGCCAGCGGGCAGTCCTTGTGCCGCAGCTGGGTCGAGGCGGTGCGCAATGCCCAGGTGAGGGGCACGGGGCTGCGCAGGGGACCTGCAGGTGCCCTGTGCACAACCTGCTCCTCGCTGATGCCTCCCCTTTCCCAGAACCTGCTGCAGCAGCTGCGGCAGCGCCGGTGCATGGAAGAGGAGGAGGAGGAGGAGGAGGACGGCGGGAGCGGCACCTCAGCTGCCAGTTCACCTACCATCCTGCGCCGCAGCAGTGCCAGCCCAGACTCACAGCAGTGGTAGGGAACGGGAGGGGGGCCCTGCACACCCCTGGCCTGGCACAGCCCCCTCCTCACCCTCCTGCTCCTGCAGCCCCTCTGACGGTTCCACTGAGACGCTCGCCATGGTGGCAGCAGACGGCGGTGATGAGCTCTCCTCCCCAGACTGGGACACGGGACCCTTCAGATCGACCTCAGACAGCTCCTCCGTTGGCACCAGCACCTCCATCAGCACCGGCACCTCTGCGGACACCTCCACCGAGACCCCCACCCAGGAGCTGCCTGCAGGCGTCCTGCCTGTGCCCCTGCCCCATGGCATGGCCTCCCCGGCTGGCGGCTGCCGCTCGTCCTCCATCGACAGTGCCTATGGCACGCTCTCACCTGCCTCCCTGCGGGACTTCGCCCAGCAGCCAGAGGGGGTGGCTGAGGAGGGGCGGGAGCCCTCCCTGGCCCCCCCAGCCCCACGGCCCCCCTCGCCCCGGCTGCGCCGCCGCACCCCAGTGCAGCTCCTGCCCTGCCCGGCCAGGGTGCTTAAGTCCAAGTCAGAGGCCAGCCTGCCACAGCTCCTGTCCCCCACTTCCCCAGGCCCCTTAAGCCAGAGCCGCAGCCTCTCTGACCTCTCTGCTGGCTCTCCCCAGACTAACCAAGCCCCTGTGCCCCCAGCTGCCTCTGGCAGCAGTGGCAGCTCCACATCCGAGCTCTCGGAGCCTGAGGAGCCAGTGGAGAGCCCAACCTCTGTCCCAGGGGAGCTCAGGCGTGACCCCCCCCCTCCTGCCCACCGGACCCTCTCGGACCCGCAGTCGGCACGGCACCGCAAGCTGACGCTGGCGCAGCTGTACCGGATCCACGCCACGCTGATGCTCAACTCCACGCTGACGGCCTCGTAAGCACATGCTGCCTGTTCCCAAGGGGTGCTCTGGCCCTCCTGGGGGCTCCCCGGGTCCGGGTCCCAGCACTGAGGGCATCTCTCCCCACTCTGTGCCTTGCAGGGAGGTCTGAGAGCCGCTGGCATGGAAAGCACAGACGCGCAGATGCACCGAGGAGCTGCTCCTGCTTCTAACCATAGCGTAATGCCAGGGCTGGGCAGAGCGAGCACTGGGATGCCACGCTGGTGGGGACACGGATGGGGATGCAGACCAGTCGCCTTGGCGAGGACGTGCTCTGGGCACGGCAGTGCGGGGCTGGACATGGCACATGGCTTGTGCTGGACCCTCGTCCACAGAGACACGGGTTGTTGGGCAGGGGGCCCTGGGGCCGTGGGGGGCTGCGGGGGGCTGTGGGGCAGCTCCTGTGGGCGACGAAGGGATGACAATGTCGGCAATGGTGAGTGGGGAAGATGCTGAGAGGGATGCAGTGCCAGGGGCATGGTGCTGCAGGCGGTGCAGGGAGGAGGCTGGGGCTGGTGGCAGGAGGGGACAGTGCGGGGCTGGGGTGGGTTTGCCCTGTGTGGTGGCAGTAGGTGGCAGTGCCCAAGGCCAGAGTATGAGAGTTGTGGTGGGAGCCCCCCCATGCCAGGCTGCACTCCACGTCCCAGCTGAGCAATAAACCCAGCTGGTACACGCTCGCGCCCGCCTCGCCTCTCCTTCAGCCACAGCAGCACCCAGGGCTGGGCAGCACTGGGGTGGGTGAGGCACAGCTGAGGGAGCCCCATGGGGGCAGGCGAAGAGGGGACTGGGGCCAGTTTCAGCCTCCTGTTCCAGGGCTCAGGATGGAGATGGAGCCCTGGGGTGGGGGTCAGCGCTGCTCCCTGCATGCTGTACATCCCCCCCACCAACCCCCGCTACCCTGGGTTTGTGCCAGCGGGTGAGGGAGGGCGGCGGCACTCCTGTCATGTGGTTTCATATCCCCTGGACTCATTTCCAAAAAAGCATTTCCTCCTGCTGCGGTCGGGTGTAAAAGCCTGTGTGGGGAGGGCTGGCGCTCACTCACCACGCGTCGCGTGCTGCTGGCGGTGGCCATGGGGTGCCGGGGCACCCTGCCTGGGCACTGAGCTGCCCTGACGCCCACCTGCGCCCGCCACCCCGGTCCCCTCACTGCCCTGGCATGAACCAGCCACATCGACCACAAGGATGAAGTGTTGCTGCCCTGGGGTGGCTTGGGTGAGTGTGCCGACACGCGGGTCCCATGGAGCCCTGACACCAGCTGTGGGGTGCCCCAGGGCCACAGCTGAAATGGGTCTGGAGGAGGGAGGGAGGAAGGTGGAGTGACTCCAGTGTCAAACGTGCCAAACACGCTTGCCCCTCTGGCTAACATCTGGGACTGGTCTCTGCTGCACCGAAGCACCCGCGGTGTGGCACGGCTACAGGGGCCACGGGCATGGCTACAGGGGCCACGGGCATGGCTACAGGGGCCACAGGCATGGCTACAGGGGCCACGGGCACGGCACAGCCATGAAGATCGCAGGCACGGACACAGTGCGGTCATGGAGAGCGTGGGCTCAGTCACGGGGCTGCAGGTAGGGCAGTGCCACGAGGACTGGCTGTGCCCACAGCCTGCGGGTGCAGGTCACGCTGCCGGCGGCGGGGCTGCCCTCGGGGCTGGGGAGTGGCTGTCCCGGCACTGGGGAGCAGAGGCCGCGCTGTGGGCAGGAGCAGCGCTGGCGGTGGGGAGCGGTGTCCGCGCCCACCCCGAAGCCCCAGGCGTGCCCGCCCCTGCTCTGCGCCCACCGCTCCCCTGCCCGCCGGGCCCTGCTCCCCGCGCTGGGCAGGGGGCTGCAGGGGGCTGCAGGGGGGTGCAGGGGGGTGCAGGGGGCTGCAGGGGGGTGCAGGGGGCTGCAGGGGGGTACAGGGGGATGCAGGGGGCTGCAGGCAGGGCGTGCCGGCAGGGCCGTGCCTCGGCGCTGACTCAGACGTGCCGCTGGCAGCCGGGGCTGCGGCAGCCGCCCTGCTCTGCGCTGGCGGCACTGCGCGGTTTCCAATCCGCCGGTGGCGGCGGGTTTAGCAGAAAATGATTCAGCTGCCGTAATCGGGGCCATCACGGCTGGGAAATCCAGCCCCCGGCGAGGAATCCCCTGGTTCCCTGCCCACACTGCCACCGCCGCGGCCCTCCCTGGCCCCTGCCCTGCCCGTGGAAGGGGTGTCAGCGCGGGCACCTCCTCGCCGCCCCCACCGGGGCTGCCTGGGCAGCGGGGCTGCCCTGCGGGTAGCACCTGGCACCCCGCGGGGAAGCCGTGACCTACTTTGGGACGCGCACACAGGGCGCGATAGCATCGGGGAGAGCGTGAGCCAGGCACGGCTTCCTCTCGGGGCGGAAATCACCTCCTCTGCGAGGGAGATAAACCCCAGGAAAGTTAAAGCTGGCAGAGTTAACCCCCCCCGCGCCTGGCTGCCGACGCCTCCCCGGACCTGCGATCCATGGCACCAGCAGCAGTGCGCCCGACTCCCCCGTCCCCATCCCCGGGGACACGGCAGGGCTCCTGTCGCCACAGGCGGTCGAGCTTCCCGGCACCACTCCCCAGCCAGCCTGGAAGCACCCTTTGCAGAGCACACGGGGGCACCTGACAGCAGCCATCTGGGCACAGGTTGTGGCAGGGTGGCCCCCGCAGGGCCAGCAGGAAGTGGGTTGCTCTTGTAGGGCGGGAAAGGCAGCACACAGGGGCTGCCACGGGGCATTCCCTGCCCTGGGGCAGCACACCCGCGCAGCTCAGGGGCACCAATCCAGCCATTCTGCCCTGCACAGGCACTGGTGTCCACGTGGTACTGGACCTGGCTCTGGCTCCAGTAGCCCATCATACGTGGCTGGGAGTGGAGCACGGTGTGAGGGCCATCCCCCTCGGGTCCACAGCTCCTGGGGCACCCTGGCTGCCCGCAGCCCTGCTCTCTCTTTGCCCACAGGTGATCCTGGCAGTGCTGGGGCTGGCAGCCAGCGAATCACAGCCCCCGGGGTGGCAGAACCACACCGAGCTGCGAGGACAGCGGGTCCTGGTGCAGTCACTCACCCGCCTGCGCAGACATGCCACCAGACGCCCCTGCCCTGCTGGCATGAACTGGATCGAGAGTACTCACCAGTGCTGTCGCCAGTGTCCTGCAGGTGAGCACTGCCTGGCCCGTGTGGCGTGGCATGGCACACTGTGGCAACAGAAGGTGTGTTACCCCATGTGGCCATGCTTCCTGTCACTCCGCTGTCCCTGCAGGGACATACCTGCACAAGCCCTGCACAAGCCGTGACGAACGTGTTTGCAATCCCTGTCCCATCGGCACCTTCCGCTCCCAGCCCAACACCTTGACAGAGTGCCAGGCTTGCTATGAGTGTGACCGACAAGGTGAGCTGGGATCACACCGTGCCATGCTGTGCCATGCAGCGCAGTGCTGTGCCACTCACTGCCTGCTTTCTGCAGCTTTCCAGAGTGTTCTGAGCAACTGCTCAGCCACCAGCAACGTCGCCTGTGGCTGTGAGCCCGGATACTTCCGTGCCTGCTTTGAACCGAGCTGCAGCGAGTTCTCATGTCGGAAGTGCCAGCCCTGCACTGGGCGCCTCATCCAGCGGCCCTGTGAGTGCTGCCGGCCGACCCACTGGCTGTGCCACCTCTGGCTGTGCCACCCTCCCTCATGCCCACCCTCTCTCCAGGCTCAGGGACTGAGGACACACTCTGTGACAGCAGCTGCAAGCCTGACTTCTACACGGAGGGCGACGAGTGCCGGCCGTGCCCCACGTAAGCACTGACCCTCACTGTGTCCCAGCTGGGGACAGGTGTGGGGCCTGTGGCATGGCACAGCATGGTGCCCATGGCTCCCCTCTCCTTGCAGGAGCACCCTGGACACGTGCAGCAAAGAGTGCCAGCAAGTGTGTGGCAGCAGCAGCAGTGGCCAAGGTACGGGGTGATGGGGCTGGGGGTGGTGGTGTGGGGTCGTCGTGCCGGATGGTTGATGGGAACACTCCTGCTCCTCCTCGCAGACTCTGGTCTGGAGTACATTCTGCTGGGACTCACCGGGCCCCTCTTCCTGGGTGCCCTTGCCATCTACCGCAAGAGGAAGAGGCTCCGGCACGATGCCCTGGCACCCGGTCCCCTGCCCACGGCACAGGCAGGCACCTCCATGGCTGGGGCTGTGGCCGCACCGTGGTGCCAGTTCAGTGTCCCGGGGTGGAACAGCCTGTGCTGGACCCAGCCGTGCTCCCCACAGGGGACAGATCGTGCCACTGCCACGGTGAGGCAGAGCCCCAAGCACCAGGCCCTGCTGTGTGAGCGGCCCAGCGAGGAGGGGGAGCCCTCTGCCCCCCCGGAGCCCCGCAGTGCCCTGCTGCAGGGCAGCCAGCTCTACGCTGTCATCGACGCAGTGCCAGTACGGCGTTGGAAGGAGTTCATGCGGATGCTGGAGCTGCGGGAGGCGGAGATTGAGCTGGTGGAGCTGGAGGTGGCCCACATCCGTGACCAGCAGTACGAGATGCTGAAGCGCTGGTGCCAGCAGACCAGCGCCACGCTGGACCGCGTCTTTGCTGCGCTGGAGCGCATGGAGCTGGCCGGCTGTGCCGAGGCACTGCGCCAGAGCCTGCCAGCGGGGCCCTAGCCCCCAGCATCACCCCATGGCACAGGGAGGTCCTGGCACCTTCACACCTCACCGGGCGCCTCTGCCGTGCCATACCCCTAAGTATTGTTACTTATGCCGTGTAGACATTTTATGTCACTTTTATGTCCCCTTCCTACCCACTGGCCCCCTCTATTTATGTCCCCCTGCTCCCAGAGCTAGGAGGGACCCCACGCCCCAGCAGGTCGGCTGCCTGGCCACTCGCGGGACGAGGGGGCACCGAGCCCACTGTAAACCCATGGGACAGTTCTCAAGGCTGCCCGCTGCCGGGCGTGCCTGCGCTCACCCCAATAAAGTGGCGTGTTTTCCATCGGCCAGCCCCCTCTCTTCCTCGCAGGGCTGCACCAGCAGGGCACCGAGGCACTGCTGACCTCAGGGCCACCACTGGTGACGTGGCCACCACAGGTGACGGGCGATGCGTGTGCTGGCAGAGGTGCAGGTGGTGTGGGTGATGGGGATGATTGTGGTGCTGTGGACGAGGGGGGCAGCGCAGTGGGCAAGCGTGGTATTGGGGCAGGGGTGGTGTGGGCAGCCCCAGGAAGGCGAGGGGCACTGCTGGCGAGATTTATAGTTTTAATTGCTGGAAAGGCAGGTGGTCTGAGTGGAGATGAGCCGGGAGCCAGCCTCGAGCGGCTCTGGAGGGGCAGGAGTGGGGCTGAGCGTGCTGCAACAGCGAGCAGTGCCAGTGGGGAGTGCGGGGAGCTGGGCAGCACGGCGAGCCCAGCCACAGCGGCCGAGCTGGGCAGCGCACAAGGAGCCGCGTGCCCTACCCCACGGCAACTCACTTTGCAAAGGGCAGCACAGGGTGGTGGTGGGCTGGCGACAGTGGGATGGGGACTACGGGTGCCTGGGGAGGTGGTGGGGGCTCCTCTGGGTTGGGATATGTGGCCATCCATGGCGGGAGGAGGGTGCCGAGGCATATCGTGGTCCGTGGGGGGACCTGCTGGCCTCCTCCCGCCGCGAAGAGCCAGGCGTGGCGTGGCTAGTGCTTGGCTATGTCCCCCTTCTTGAGGATGATCTGTCGCTGCCAGGGCGCCAGCTTTGTCTCATCGTACCCAAGAGTCCTTAGCTTTTCCGACTGCTCCTTCTCCTTCTCCTCCTCCTCCCGCTTCAGCTTCTCCTGCTCTTTCCTGCTCAGCAGTGGAGGGCACGGGGCGCCACGGTCACCAGAGCCGCCGGAGCCACCGTGCCCACCCGCCCAGGGAAGGGGCTTGCGGCACTCACCGTTTCTGCTCCCTGTGAAAGCAAAGGGAAGAGCGGGGTTAGCAGAGCTGCAGGAGTGACCAGTGGGTGCGACATCCCCCGGCCCCAGCTCACCTCTCTTCCTCCAGCTTCTTACGCAGGATGTCCCTCCTCCAGGCTGGCATGCTGGCCAGACGCGCCTCCTCCTCCTTCTCCTGCAATAGACAGCTGTGTTACTGGCACTGCTGGGAGCCCACCCTCGCTACCGGTACCATGGGGCCACAGCATCGTCCTGGTGCGTGACATCACGTCCTTCTGGCAGCTGGGCTGAGCCACACTCCTGGCACGGTGCTGGTGGGGTTGGCCAGCACGCAGCTCGCCGACGCGGCCCTCGCTGCCTGCCCTCCACCGGCGCGGGGAGGAGGAAGGAGCGTGTGGCGTGGCCAGCCCTTGCAGCACACCACAGCTTTATTGCACGACACGCGGGGGCCCACACTGCCCCAGCACCACAAACGCCACACCAGAGGGGAGCGCAGCCCCGCTGCTGCATCTCCCACACAACACACAGCCACGGCAAGCAG